ACTAAGGAGCAGTGATGGCAGAATTGGACAACCTGCATTGGGGCAGGGTTGGGGAGCAATTTTAAGCTTGGGAGTAGCATAATCAGATTTGTCTTCTACTCTGGCTGCATTCTAGAGGGTGGTTTGAGGTAGGGCTAGAGGTGGGAGGATATTGGAATATTCCAGTTGAGAAGTGATTTGTGCTGTCCCATAGCAGCAGTGAAGATGGGGTAGCAGCAGTGGCTGCAAGAAAGAATTCTGTGTGGAATAGAAGGAGTTGGTGGCCTCGTAGAAATGAGGGGGAGAGAAGAAAAATCTTAAGATGATGACTGGGGTTTTTGCTTTAGTGGTAGATCATAGCAAACATCAAGCTGGCAGTAGGAGAAGGAGGAGGATTTGAAGGAAAATAATGAATTTGAGCATGTTGAATTTCACGTTTGCAGCATCTAGGTAGAGATGTCCCTCAGACTTGAGCTCAGGAAGGTAGTCTGACTAGAGACGGTGTAAGTCTTGTGTAAGTAGTATGATGATGTAGGGAATGTGAAGAATGAGAAGCAGACCAAGAATGGGAGAGGGGGAGCGACCAAGGAGAGGGAGTTTCAAGGGAGGAGGCGTGTTCAGCAGCCAAGAGACCTTGTGGGATAGTGTGGAAAAGGGACTGTTGGTTTGGCAAGAGTTGAGGAATCTCAGGTCTTAATAAATAGCCCACTGAGGTAGGGAGCAGGTCAGCTGGCTGGATAAGGAGACTGGTATGGCTTTGGAATAGCTAGGTAGGAAGCTATCGGGAAAGAAATGAAGTTAGTGAAAAAAGACTTCTGGAACATCATAGAGGTCCCAGGTGATGTTAGAGATCAGTTTTAGTGGCATCTGTCTGCCTAGTTGTGTGAGTTCTGCCTGCCCCCGCCCGCCCCCACCAAAAAACCAAACCAAAACAAAAAACCCTCCAGGCGCTATGTTGCGTCCTGAGCCCCTAGTTCCGAGCATTATTCTCTTGCCATTTATTTCTTGGGACACCATAAGAAAGAACACAACTTCTAGTTCAAGTATATTCATGTCAGTCTATGAGCAAAGATTGAATATGAAAGACCATGATAATGTTAAAATTATATGAGGTATTACTAAAACTGAGAGTACCGTGGCTCATTTTGTCACCTGTGATTTATATTTTCACAAAGATTGAATACACTTTACCATGATGATTAATGCAAAAGCTAGCTTTTTAGGTCCTCCTTAGAATGACCTTTTGACAGATATTATATTTAGACTTCTGCAAGTAAAGAGAAGAGAACTAATGTATTTGAGTACCTAGTATGCACTTTACATGGCATCTTATTTAAGAGAAAATACACAAGCATTTGTATCTGTTTCTAAGCATAAATTTATAATTGGAATACATTTGCTTCAAAGCACACACGCCCCTAGCCACCTGTCAGTAAACTCATTTGGGGAGCTGATTCGAGAATGGTGGTGGTGAATTTGCTTGGATTTATTCTGAATTCACCCAAGCTCAAAGCTGCCACCTTACCCAGGGAGTATTTGTCCATACAGTATTCTATTAGCATTTAATGGAATTGTGTAGTATTTTGCCTGCTTAGCCCTTCACATGGTGCCCTGGGGATGTCCCCCCTGCACCCTCCACCAACACACACATTTGAACATAAGTGGGCAGTGTTAGGATACAGTCTGTAACCAGTAAGAAATTTACTTGGCTGCAGTCCCGTATTATCATCATCATCTTAAGAGTGTGCCTGGGTTCCATGTGTCTTTGCCTCCCCATATTTCTGTAGTTAAATACCAAGAATGGCTGTGGTTTTTCCTGCACAGTTGTTACTTTGAGACAGGAAGATGATCGTGTCTTGCTTTTATATAGCAACTTTGTTAAAGTATTAGTTAAACAGTAGGCAGCTATTGATATATGAGAAATAGATACATATTGTGTCAGAATCCTCTTTAATTTCCAGAAATACTACTAATATGACATGAAGAGAAAGGTGTGTGATCATCTATTTTTACTTTTAAAGTTAAGATATTATGTAAATTGAAAATCATGGGAAATCCTGAAATTTTAACAAGGATATAATTATATCCAAACTTAATTTAAATTTAAAAGATTTTATAATTATGGGAAAAGCTAAGCAAGTAACTTGAAATTTCAGTGTTAGTGTCACGTCTGCTGAAAGACAGGTCTATTTTAAGGAGTTTTTTTTTTTCCTCATGTGTCCATTTATGGATGTTAGTATTAGAGAAATCAGTAGGGGGAGGGGAACTGGTTTCTCCACAGAACTCTTCATTATTTGTTTCATTTGAAATATGTGTGTGTTGGAATCAAATCCACTTATGTCTATTGGGTCATGTCTCTGGTATTTCAGTTGAGTGTGGCTGTAAAAGAGAGTTAGTTAACACCAGAATTCCTGCCCTTAAGGTCCTTGGCCCTACAGTTGACTCACTGCCCACCCTCAGGGAAGGTCCCTTGTCATAAATAGTGGTTTGGGTCAGCTAATTTGGACAAATTCATCAGAATCAGTATTTATAAACGAATTTCTAGCAATCCCGAATATGGCCAGTTTTTGCTGTTGTTCGTTCTCAATCCTGTTTACCCTTCCATACCTTTTATGTCTTTTCCCCTCCTCCTCTGATGTGCATAAACATTGCCCTACTGTGAGGACAGTGTGTCATCACAGGGTCTGTTCTCTCTGTCAATTGTTCTGTGTCTTTCACATGCATGGTTTCTTCCTGTTAGAGAGGCGATCTCTTATTCCCATCTTATTTGGAGCACTGAGGGACACACATTGATACAAGCATGTATTCCCATAGCAACAAGAGATTGGCATGAGGAAATCTGAAAAAGTGTGAGTCTCAGCTAAAACACGAGGAATCGGGCTGCTTTGGAAGAGTTCGGAGACGAGGAGCTCTTGAAGTTAGATTAAAAGCAGCTTTAGCAAACATTGTGGGGGGAAGGGGGGAGGCACAGGATGGGGCAGTGGGAGCTGGTTGGATTTGACTAGTCCTGACTTGGGGCCAAACTGGGAAAGGGCAGTATATTGTCACAGTCTCTGTGTGCATTTCATTGTTTTTCTCTGAGTATAACATTGAATCAGAATCTCCAGGGTTTGAAATTATTCATACACACAGTTACAGGAGGTTCTTAGGTGTAGCCAGATTAGAGAACCATAGAGAATCACTGATACAGTCAAAATGATACAGGAATGCTTATTAGTAACCGCCAAAAAACAATTATCTGCTTTCATTGATGGACAGATGAATGCTTGGAGCAGGGAGTCCCGCTTTCAAAGTATCAAAATCCTTGTGTTGGCAATAAAAAAAAAAAAACTTAATTAAAAAAGTAATCTCAGTTAGCAATATAGTGAAAGACTAATACACCAAAACTGAGTGATGCAAATTCCACAGTAAAAAGGTGGTTCAGTCTTGGGAAATTTATTAGTAATTTTCATTGTATCACTGTCAACCATATCACACCCAGTGCCCCTTCTTTTTAGCAAATGATTTTATACTTTCTTTGGTAATCCAAAACTGAAATGCATAGAGAATATAATTTTTCTAAATACATAATTTATAATAACATATTTATGATATCCTAACATTTGTATTTTTATATAGATATATATTTTTTAGTGTGTGTGTCTCCAGCCTTCACTGTTTGCTCTGTTGTAGGACTTTTAGGGAATTATTCAGAGTATACCACACGTCAGTTTGGAAAGAAAGGATTATTTGCAAATAATTGTAGAATAATTTGTTGCTACAGTATCTGTATAAAACATTTGGCTATTCGCCACACTTATATGCTAAAAAATGGCAGATGAATAAAAATGAGATACAAATAAAATTTTTTGAAACATTTAAAGAAAAAAAGGCAGATTTCTGGAATGGGGGGAATTTCAAATCTTAAAAGGGAATGGAGGCAATCACAAAGGAGGCCAGTGCATGTCGTTGAAACAGAAAACTCAGACACTCCAAATAAATTACCAAAAGCAGATCTCCCATATGCAAAACATTGGGAGCCATTGATTTAGGGAAGGTTACTTTGATGGGGACAATCACGTGTGTATGGATAATGTTGCAAGCATTCCGTTTTTACATGACAGAAGTGAACATAGAAAATTCATCCAGCTGTCGTGGGTCACCGGGACTGCAGTATCCTTTACCTCTAACAAAGCGGTGTTTGAGACCCATGGTACCTTCAGGAGTTCCTGTTGTTCTTGATCATTAATTTAATCATCAAGGAAAATAGTCCTTTTTGAGGAGAACCCTCAGATTAACTTAAATTACCAAAAGTAATTTAGCCCTATTTGGTGCACTTCCTACCATTTTCTTTTCCTTTCTTGTAAGAATTTGTGAGACATATTCTAATGCATATACATACCCTCTTACCATTTTGATGTTTTCCTGGGCCTGAGGTTGTAAGGAGTGAAAGAGGTAAATAATGGGATTACAATGGGACGCGGTGCTCCAACCTTTGACGTAGTGCTGCCCGCGTGTTCCTGACTATCAGGAAGAACATAGCATTCCTTTCCTCATTAGTAACTGCTCACTTTCTCAACTTCCATTTATCCAGTGTCTTGAGTTTCTCAGATCTTTGATTTTCGTCTTGCCTCCTGCCTGCTTTATTTGCCCAGTTCACTGCCAATTAACACCTCTCTCTGAGAGTAAGCAGGAGAAATAAAAGGCTCTGGAATTGACCTGATCTTGTAGGCTCCTTGTTAACAGCTCTAATGAAAAGTTCTACCAGAAAGATTGAAATCATGGTATTAAATTAAGTTTGGGGGCGGTCTGTGGGGTTTTATTCTCCATAATATTCCTATTTTCCGCAATTGAAGTTGACTGTATCGCTATTGAGAAAATAGATACATGGGAGAGTGCTAGGTTAGTAACTTTGCTTTGCGTCTTAACTAGGTCACGTAACTAGCCATGTGGCTAGTCTTTGTCTACGCCTTATTTTACCCGTGCGCTGTGCGCACCGGCTTGGGTCATCTCCCACGTGGCTTAGTGTTCTGTGGTTCCCCCCGAAGGTCATGAAACGAGTGCGCACCGAGCAGATTCAGATGGCAGTGTCCTGCTACCTCAAACGCCGGCAGTACGTGGACTCTGACGGTCCCCTGAAGCAAGGACTGCGGCTGTCACAGACTGCTGAGGAGATGGCGGCCAACCTCGCAGGTAATGGGGGCGGGCAGGCTGGAGCAGAACTCACGCTGAGGACCCTGAGAAATTATTTCCCCTCCTCTTCTGGAGAGAGTGCGGCAGCCTCCACAGGCAGCACCACATGATGGTGCAGGCCTTCAGAGATGCTATCTGTCCTTCAAAGCCACTTCTAGAGGCCTCCTGTCGTAATCCATCCTGCTTCAGAATTCTCTGCTTTCCACTGTATCTGATGTTTTCCCTCTATGAACTAGTCTGCTATGAGACCCAGAGGGCCAGGGCTTCCATCATCTCCCTCCCTGTAGCCCGGAGCCTTGCCCATGGAAGTCAGGTTTGCCGGGTGAACGAGTGCTTTGGGATCAGTGGTCGGAAAGATTGGCATCCTAGATATGTTCCTGAGGTTTTTAAGATTTGTTTTTGGGTTTTGTTTTGAAATCAGATTCTTTTTTAGAAAAATGTGTCTTAAATCTCTTTAGAACAGCAAACAGTTATTACTTAGCTATGTGGTGAGTTGAGTTTTTATATGATATAATTTTCTTCTATTGGATCTGGGTACTGGAGACTGCCAAAAAACAGACAGCCGCAGTGCTTTTCAGGTGATTGTGAGCTGCTTTAATGGCTGTACGAGGAGTTCAACACCGCAGTGCTTTCTCCAGCTCAGCCCTGGTTCCTCTTACCTGCTCCGACTGGACTGTTCTCTCTTTTTGATTCTTGTACTTCCTTCTGCTCTTCTAAGTATCTATCACCACCTACTTTATCCGTTAATGGTTTCAACCCCCACACTGGTAGCAGCAGCTCCCTCTCCTCCCTCTTATTATCTTCAGAGTCATGAACCCAGACCCTTCACATTCTAAGGGTGCATTGCTATTGCCATAGGAAAAGAATGATGGCACAGTAGAATGAGGATGTCCTCAAAGAGCTGCTTCCTGACTCCTCCTGAGACAGTAGAAGTAGCCCTTCTTATTATACCTTCTTATAAGAAGGTATCTGCCTTCTTATTCTTTAGCATCAGATCCACCCCCATTGTTCCTTTCTTTCAGACTGGGTTACCCCTGACAAGAACAGAGCCAGACGAGGGACTTGGAATAGATTACTAAATGCCTTATTGTTTCGAGCAGGATGGCCAGTTTATAGAGCCAGAGTAATTCCTTCTCAACTTGCCAGCACAGCCTTTAATGTGCATGAATAATCTCCTGCTGCCCCATGTTCATTAGAACCTGGGAGCAGTAATTCTATGCAGTTGTTGATAGAAAATAGAATCAAGCACTATTATACAGAACATGACTGCCGGAACATGACTCTTCTTAGTCGTCTTAATGCAGATATAATGGCTTATTAGGAAGGGCACTGTTGTTCCTGGAAAACCACCAGGAAATGTGAGTATCATAAGATTTTGTCCTAGGTCTTTCTGTCAGTTGAGTAATCTGAATGATTGTGTCGTCCTTCAGCATACCACCTATTGAACATCTGCTATAGGTCAGGTGCTGAAAAGTCCTAGAGATAGCTAAGGTTTGATCCTAGCTCCTGAAGAGCTTGACATTATAGCGAGGAAGTGAGGCGGATAAATCAGTGATGACAGGAGGGTATGATGTAGTAGTTCTATGAAGGGAGAATGTTTCAGGTTCTGTAGGAACAAAGAAGGTGGTCATCGAAGTTAGCTTGGCAGGTCAAGGATTGCTTCCCCAACGGTTTCATGATTCCCAGTATATAGTAGGGGTTAGTAAATAGAAGGAGTGAGCTGAGTCTCAAAAGAACCATTAGGAGCTTACCAGGGGACGAGATGGAGAAGGATATCTAGGTTCTCAAGTGTGAATTATGGGAAGATCACTCTGGTGGCTGCATTGATTGGGGAAGGCCCAGGGTAGAACCAGGGAAACTAGTTAGAAGGCCATAGAGTGATCCAGTGAGAAGTGAGGACAACCTGAGTTAAAGAGGTGGTAATAGGAGTGGAGAGGAGAGGTTAGGTTGAGGAATCTGTAGGATTTGGTGACTGACTAACTCAAGGTGGGAGCCACGTGAAGGAGAGAGGCGTACCATTCGTGCACGTGCAGCACGTCCTCCTGCTTCAGGCTGTTGCTCTGAGTTCTCGTAGGGCACGCTGACTGACTTCTCATCTGTGTCCCCCTTCCTGTACATGTTATGTTGTGGCTACCTCAGTCCTGCTGCATTAATTTCATTCCTCCATCCATAATCTGTCTTCTGAAATGTGTTAGTTTCATCCAGATTATTAAAGATGGCTCCCTCGGTCCCCAGCCACCTTTCCCCAGTGTTCCCTTACCCCCGCAGAAAGGGTAAGGGAATGTTGTTTCTCTTTTTAGAAAGAATAGATGCACAGAATGGAGACTAAGTGCATGTTTACGTACTGTGTATCTGAATATTCAGACTCCAGCCTTCTTCCCCACATCCCGCTGCCTAGAACACTAGCAGTCAGTCACATATCCCTCAGGAAGGTGATTAGAGATTCTTCCCTGGTGAATCTGAGCTGCCCAAGAGAGAAGACCTGTGAAGACATTGACATTGGGAAATTGCCCATCCAGGTCATGCTTTGTGATAAACACACAGAGTTTCCATCAGCTCTGTAGTACTTCACCTTCAGCCATGAAAGAACCTAATGTACTCAGTATAAAGAGGAGAGGTGGAAAGAATCAGTGAGAAGCAACTTGAGTGAAGCACACAGCTGAGAGAAGAAAACTTCAAAAATACCATCGATAGCCTTGAGACGAGAAGAAAATGCTATTTTTAAAAAGCAAACAACATTAGGAGAACAGCAAGAAATGTGGCAAATTTAAGTAAATGGTCATAAAAATGAGAAATCAGTAGAAAGGTTGAAAGTTGAGGAAGCAGATCAGTTCAGGGAATCTAACCTTGAAATAGTAGGGGGTCCCAGTGGCACGTGGCTGGTTCAGTTGGTAGAGCATGTGACTTTTAATCTCAGGGTTGTAAGTGTGAACCCCACACTGGGCCTAGAGCTTTCTGAAAAAGAAGAAGAAGAAGAAAGAGAAATAGGAGGGGTCCCTGAAAGAGAAAACAGAGAATCAACAAATTTCTCAGAACCAAGAGACATGAATTTTTATTGAAAGGGCCTGCTAAGTGTCCATAATGATGGTTGCAAATAGACCCACACCAAGGCACATTATCATAGGATGTCAGAACATGGGGTCAAATGCTTTCAGATATGTCCCTCATGCACTTATGTACCTGTCCTCTCTCATTCAACTTAACCCTGTGCTTTATACCTTTTCATTCCTCCACTGTCATTTTATTTGGGTATCGGGAAGAAGAGGAGATAGGTGTCATCACTCGGCCATATTTAACCAGAAGCCCCACCATACTCTGAAAATCTACTGAAATGTCCATTGCTATGATGCATACTTAACACCCTCTTCCACCCACCTTGCCACATACTGGATTAATAATTGTGTTTCCCATCCCCACTGTATATATCTTTTCCTCCTTAGTCCAATCAGAATCCGGCTGTGCCAACATAGTGTCTGCAGCCCCTTGCCAGGCAGAGCCCCAGCAATATGAAGTACAGTTTGGACGCCTACGGAATTTTCTCACTGGTAAGTGCTCAGCTTAAAGAACTTCCTCTTATTAAGAAAGAATCCCGCAATTTTCCCTCAGAACCTACTGTATTCCGGGTACGGTGTACTTAGTACGGATTCAAAGGTAGTTGAGGGCAGTCCTTGCATTCAATCTTACAATCAATCGGACCTTCTAGGAGAGTTAAGTCACAAGTTAAAGTTTGCAAGGGCTAGGGCTCCCGGTGTTTTTGTCACTGTTTTGTCCATGGCTGTCAGCAAAGTGACTAAAACTTGCGATGAAACAGTGAAAGTTAAATCAGCCATGTAGAGAAACATCCTTAAATGCAGAGAATTTGAAATGGACATTGAAATCACTGTTAATAATATAGTACATCTCAAAATGACCTTTTCCCCTTATTTCCCAAAGTGCAAGACACTAGTCATCATGAATCATCAAGACAAAAAAAATTAGAAGTAGTTTAGTCCAGTTTGTGGGTGGTGTAATGACCATTAAAACACAGAATCAGTAGATATGAGTTCCAATCAGTTCTTTTTACTCACTGTATGACTTTTTAAATGAATCACTTAAAAAAAAAATGGAGTTGTTTAGCATCTCTGGAGCCCTGGTTTCTTCATCTGTGAAATAAGGTGATTCAAAGGTGTAACCAAGTGATTTCATCCAGTCCTAAGATAACTGATTATAATTTTAATGTTGGGAAGATTATCGCAGTGAGGGAGACTACGTTGATTCAGGTTATGAATCAAAGTCTTTTACTGAGTACTTTTTCATTCAGAATACCTTGAGTTATAAGAAATACAAAATTTTCTCTGCCCTCAAAGGGTTGAGAGTAATTAGTAGGTATTGGTTAGTGGCAAATTGTAGTTAAAGCACTTTGAGGTTATTTCATTTTTCTTTTTTTATTTGAAAAAATCCTCAGGGTAATAATAAGTTTTAATGGTAAAGATGCATATAAGGCGATCAATGTATAAGCCACAATAGTATACCTAATTTTACATCACTTGATTTTACTTGGCCCTCATTATGATCTGTATTTTTTAAGGGAAAGAATCCACATTTTCTGTATTCTAGGGAAAGTGGCCAAAATGTTACAAGAAATAAAGGTTACAAAATAAAACCTTAGAGAGAGTTATCTTATCAGCCTCAGAGTTACTAGAGTGATGGAATTCATAAGTACCATCTATTGTTACAAAAATGAAAAAATCATGAAGCTTAAAGGTTTAGTAAAAAGAGCCTATTATGTTTAAACTGAAAAAGAAAGAAGTTTGATTAAGATCTTCATATCATATGAATGTTAAATATCTCAGAACAGTGATCAGCTGCTTTCTATCTCCAGTAAGGATAAAAAGAGAAAAATTGAATTTATAAGAAGGCTTTCACTGAGAGGTAAGCAAGAACTTGGAGATACTGAGTTATGTAATCACTGGCCTTGTTTTTTTTGAGGCTTTTAGCAATTTATTTTTTTTTAAAGATTTTATTTATTTATTTGACACAGAGACACAGCAAGAGAGGGAACACAAGCAGGGGGAGTGGGAGAGGGAGAAGTAGGCTTCCCACCGAGCAGGGAGGCCGATGCGGGGCTTGATCCCAGGATCCTGGGATCATGACCTGAGCCGAAGGCAGACGCTTAAAGACTGAGCCACCCAGGCGCCCCTAAGCAATTTATTTTTTAAATTTAAGTCTTTAGAAAGTCATTTTACTCCGTTTTTAAAATATAACTATATTTCTTTCCCCATGATCGATTTCTCTCTCCATGCTAGGGGTGGGGAAGCTGGTTTAAGAAAGAATGCCGGGCTTCTCTCAGCCTTTCTCTTCCATTCATTCAGCCGATATTTATGTTAGGCACTGACTACTTGCTGGGCTAGATGTTGCAATAGAGGATATTGATGTGGAGCCTACTGCCACTGAGGGAAACAGACAAAAGCATAAAGCCCCAGTGTATCATTATAATAGTGATGCCTTCCATGTACTCATAGACTTGACTTATTTCCATTATGAATGATGCTCGTGACTAGTGACATACTGGTTTTTGTTTATATTCTTTAATCACTGAGGCATAGTTGTAATAAAATAGACTCATTGGAATAATTTTATTACAGAACTGTGGTTACTTTTCACAATGAAGAATTAATACATTTAATTGATCACAAATGTGATTTATCCTGGTGCAAAGTTTTCTGCTTAGATTTATTTCTTTGGGGGGCGCCTGGGTGGCTCAGTGGGTTAAGCGTCTGCTTTCAGCTCAGGTCATGATCCCAGGTCCTGGGATCCAGCCCTGTGTTGGGCCTCCTGCTCAACAGGGAGTCTTCTTTTCCCTTTCTTTCTGCCCCTGCTCATGCTCTCTCTCTCACTTACTCTCTAAAATAAATTTTTTAAAAAAATCTTTAAAAAAATTTTCTTTGGGCTCTTACTATTTTTCTTGACTATTTACTGTAGACTAGCTGTTGACTCCTTGTGTCTGATGATGCTGGTTTTTTCCTAATATGTGGTACCTTCTTTATTCTCCTGTCATAATTTCCTTCCCCCAGAACTTTAAATTTCAATAACTGGTAATGTATTAACCTTCTCCTTTGTCTTGTTTCAAAACTGAGGAGGTTGTCTGTTATTTTACCTATAATTCTTTAATCCATTAGGCACAGGTCACTTGGAGGGGGTAAATAGATATTTTGTGGGGTTTTTTGTTTTTGTTTTTATTTTTTATTTTATTTTTAGCAAGGTTTACTGAGCAATAGCAAAGTGATAGCACAAAGCTCCCGAGGAGGGAGCGGACCCGAAAAGGTTGCCCTGTTTTTTGTTTTTACAGACTGCTTTTCCTGGAATATTTTTCCCTACCCTCAGGTCTCTAAAGAGCAGTCAGCCAAGTCAAATGAACAAGTGTTTCCTGAGCACCAAGATAAAGTATAAGATACAGTCATTAATCTAAATAGGGAGCAATCCTAACATAAGAAGGCTAAAAGTAAAAGTTTTTAAATAAAGTTCAAATATGGTGGAAGAGTTTTAACAGGCCAGGATGAAATCGGTGCCAAAGTTTGTACATAGAGGAACTCTGGAATGAAAGGAGAATATGGTTTGGACAGAGTAGTCAGAGAAGGCCTTACTATCAATCAGGAGGTGGAATTTAAGTTAGCGTTTGGAAGATGGGCTGGATTTCAGTAAGCTGTGGAAGAGAAGTAGGAGGATTTGGGGTATGTGGAAAGACATGAGCAAAAGGGCAGAGATGGCAATTCTTTGGGCAGGAACAGTGAAGGAAGCAGCTTTGTTGAGAATGGGGTTTTCAGATTGGAGATAAAGCCAGCCACAGTGGAGCCAGGTTGAGGAGAGACCTGACCATCGGGCCTAGGAGACAAAAGTCTGAAAGCAGTTTATGAAAGGGTTTGCAAGTGGGATGACCAGGAAGCCAGCCTAAAGTCCACTGTGTACTGGAAAAGTGAGCTGAAAAAGGACCACAGCTCAACAGTGTTGTGCAAGTGGAAAGCAAGGTCTTGATTTCGTAGTTAAAATTCCCAAGGTAGACTCTCCAAGGCTCAGGATTAAAGGAGGAAGAGTTGAGGATGACTTGGGCTCTGTGACAAATGGAGGCTTAAACTATATTGAGCAGGAATAAGTCAGGTTGTTTTTTACATCATTATGATGGCGGCCTCCTGCTGTGTAGCTTGCAGTAGGAAATTGGAGGCTAGTATTTAAAAGAAAGATACAGACTTGTGATAAAGAACTCAGTATCAGCTTCATGGAGGTGCAAATGCCACTTTAAGGAGATGATAAATCTCAAAGGAAGATATGAGGAAAATAAGAGCATCTCAGGCTGTAGTACCCTAAGTGTATTTTTCCTCCATAAGTTCTCTGTGGGTGAGAGATTTCTGTGAGCTTACCTGTTGCTCTGGGTCCTTTTCTTCAGGAGGTATAGGAGGAAGAACAAAGACTTTGGAATCAAGCAGTCTGGGTGTGAATCTGGGGCCAGCTGTGACCCTTAGACACGACAATAGATGTCAAGTGCCTGGACCACAGGAAGCACACACTCCATGTTCATCCTTGAAATGAAATGAGTATTTGAGGAAGGAGAGAAGGAGGGGAGGCCCGAAAGGGAGGGAGGTGAAGAGTCGAGCTGGGTAGTGTGATGTTTCAGAACAGAAGACAGGAGTGTGAGGTCAGCAGCAGAACAAGGGGTAACAGCTAGGTTTTCATTTAACTTAGTGTCCTTTTCACTACTAATTTCTGCAAACTCTGCAAAAAACTTCCTCTTACTTACACCACCAGCAGAGTGTGGCACCAAGTAGGAGTTTGTTACAAAGCCGGTGGATAGGTGGATAGAAGGAAGGAAAAGCGCACTTTTCAGAGGATATGTTACTTTTGAAATTAGAAAAAATATATTTCAAGCAAATACACTTTCAGTAAAATACGAAGTGTATGTTACGATTTCAAGGAAACAAGATTAAAAATGAGAGTTAAGTCTTATTTGAGTTTTACTTCCATATAATGAATACGTTGATCAAAATTTTATTTTATACCTGATATACTGTTCTCTTCAGACAAGAGAGAACAATTAAACAGTTTTGAAACTGAGCTGAAACAACAGTGAATTTCACTAAGTTTTAAAGTAGTGCAGCCCCTATCTCTTGGTGGCTGGGTTTTGTTTTGTTTTGTTTTCTAAACTTATTAAACTAAAATGCCTCTCATTTTGAAAAATAAGCCTAAAACTAATACTTTAAGGAATAGCAAACAATCCTTCATCCCAGTAGGATATATTGGAAGTCTAATTGGTAAGGGTTGATTTTTGGGGGTTTTGGTTTTTTCATTAGTATTTTATGGAAAAAAATTTCCAGAGGTCTTCCAAAGAATTACAACATTTAAAGAAATACCAAAATCTGAATTAGTCAGGATCCTCCATAGAAACAGAACCAATAAGATGTATATACAGAAAGATATATTTTAAGGAATTGGCTCGTGCACTTATGGAGGCTAGCAAGTCCAAAATCTGCAAGACAGGAAGGCAGGCTGGAGACCCAGGGAAGAACTGCAACTCAAACCCAAATTGAATCTGTTGGCAGAATTCCCTCTTCTAGGGGAGGTCAGTCTTTGTTCTCATAAGGCCTTCAACTGATTGGACGAGGTTCACCCACATTATGGAGGGTAATCTGCTTTATTAAAAGTCTACTGACTTAACTGTTAATCTCATCTAAAAAATACCTTCACAGAACCATCTAGATAATGTTTAACTAAGTATCTGGGCACTGTGGCCCAGCCATGATGACACAGAATTAACCACCCCAAGTCTACCCTCTGTCAATTTCGTACCCATATCTATCTCCTTAAACCATACTTAATCTCCAAATAACCATGATTAACAAGGTCTTTAATCCCCCTATCATGATACAGCTCTCCGGGGTACAACCAAAAATGCACGAATCCCTTCCGCAGAAGAAAAAGCAAAGTCCTTAGGTGATTTACTTTTCTCCTTGATATCGTGTAACTTAAATACTATGATGTAAAGTTAACAACACTTAACTACTCTGGTACAAAGTAAGGATAACTTATGTACATGATAAGGGAACAAGAGAGGGAAGAAAACAAAGATATGTATAAATTACATACACACATATTCGTAACAAAATAAGGAGGGTAATTTAAATAATTAGTCTTCATTTCTGTAACTGGTCACATACTTCATAGCTGGTATTTAACTACTTTCTTCCACTACTCGTTCTGCATTTTCTTTGCCTTCAGCAAACACCTCAGCTGGTCCTGATTCTTTACTGGATAGGATGACCTAAACCTCATTTCTGAAGAGTCTTGGGCCATTACTGGTCCTACTTGGATTAGATTTTTATAGTTTTCCATTAATCTTAACCACAGGGCAGAATGATACTAAGAGATGCCCTTAGGGATCTCCTGTATTGCAGACACTGCCTTACCTCCACTGTGGACTGGCAGTCCAATGTCCCCATGGTAGTCAGGATCAGTCACCCCAGCCAGCACCATAACTCCCTTCTGGGCCTATTGAAGACATGAGGAGCCCAAAGTGGCCAGGTAACAGTCTTAAGTTTATTGGAATCATCGTTGTAATTTAATTTAAGTTCATTTTCTAAATATGTCTTTGAGTAGGGACACATTTATTCTAAAATGCACATATTATACAATTAATTCACCTGTGATAAAGTGAAATAGGGTATTAAGCAGAGATAGCATGCTGGTATCATTTATCATCAGATTAGGGAGGCAAGATTCCCTAATGTAATATTCCTGATTTTGAGCCATGTATGGATTCTTTTTCATGAAGGGGAAAAAAAAAAAAATGCTAGCAGAAGTACTAATGCTGACTTAAAGCATTTTGATATTAATTTACTTAAATATGCACAAACGTTACATAAGATATAACACGTTTATGGTTACTGTATTTCTATATGAAACCGAAACTCATTTACAAATCAAGTACAAGCAAAACCACAAAAGCAATAAAGTTCAAATGAACAGCAAGTGAATATAACAGATAGATTTTGCCAGAACTGACCTGCTGCTCCACATAGGCATGGGGCCGGTCCTGAGGGCTGTGACACAGACTAGTCTGCATTCAGCTTCCCGAGGTGCTTACGCCCTGCGTCGGCCCTGCTGCCCCTGCTCGCCTCTGGCTGAATAGCTGCAGAACCTCTGCACCATCACAGCTCCCTCCGCCCTCACATATGGGCGTCAGATACACCTCTGTGCTTTTCTCCCTTGCCTGTGGCAATTAAAGCTGGACACTTTTGAACATCCTCTGTCACGTAGTTGCATGGTGTTAAGTCTCAAATTAGTAAATGGTTTAGTCCTAATGACATGAAAATGTCTCGTTTGTAAACTATCACCGCAAAAGAGTCGTTTTACTTTTTAGCCAACATAATCAAAATGATTACACTGGCAGGTATGAGACAATTTTGGGTGAGTGTTATCATGTTAGTGTTAGGGTGTGCCAGCCTGGGTAGCTAGGCGTGTTAATGAGCTCACTAAATAAGTACTCTGATAATACTGTTGGATGATGGAGGCCCAAAGTAATCACAAAACAAAAGGGAGCACTAATGTCGTATGTCAATACTTGCTTAAGGACCAGCCAGATAATTATGAATAGGCCTGTGTTTATTGTTTTTAAAAATTACCCAACTAAAAAGTTTCTGGGAAGAACTCATAGTCTCCCAAGAATATATCTAAGGACCCTCAGAGTCTGTGCTCCCCAGTTGGAGGAACACTAATGTACTGGGGAAAAACAGTGAACCTTGAAGACCTGAGGACAAGCTCCTGAAGTGTTGTGTGACAACTTAAGCAGGTCACTTAACCTCTCTGGGCATCAGATTCCTGATCTGTGGCCGACTTCAGGCCCAGGTTTGCTGGACTTCAGAGTCCCTGATCTTCAGTCAAAAGGCTTGGATTTTGAGTTTCCATAATTCTGTGTCGGGCTTCTAGTTCAATCAACAGTCCTGACCAGAATGTGTAGTGTGATGGTGGGCTCCCCAGGAGGGCCACATTATTCTTTGAAATTATACCAATTATAAAGCCCTTACTTTTTTCCATTATAGATTCTGATTCCCAGCATAGCCACGAAGTGATGCCTCTCCTCTATCCTCTCTTTGTCTACCTCCATCTCAACCTGGTCCAGAATAGTCCGAAGAGCACAGTGGAAAGTTTTTACAGCCGCTTCCATGGAATGTTTCTGCAGAACGCTAGCCAGAAGGATGTCATTGAGCAGCTACAGACCACTCAAACCATCCAGGACATCCTGTCTAACTTCAAGCTTCGAGCATTCCTAGATAACAAGTACGTGGTCCGTCTCCAGGAAGACAGCTACAACTACCTTATCCGCTACCTCCAAAGTGACAACAACACCGCCCTGTGCAAGGTCCTCACCTTGCATATCCATCTTGACGTGCAGCCTGCCAAGAGAACAGATTACCAGCTCTATGCCAGCGGCAACTCCTCTCGAAGCGAGGGCAGCGGCTTAGAGCCCACTGACATGCCCGCCCCTATTCTGCAGAACGAGGCTGCCCTGGAGGTCTTGCAGGAGAGTATTAAGCGTGTCAAGGATGGCCCTCCCTCCCTCACCACCATCTGTTTCTATGCCTTCTATAACACAGAGCAGCTGTTGAACACTGCAGAAATCTCCCCAGACAGCAAGCTGCTTGCTGCTGGGTTTGACAACTCCTGTATAAAACTGTGGAGTTTACGATCCAAGAAGTTAAAATCAGAACCCCATCAAGTAGACGTGTCCCGCATCCACTTGGCTTGTGACATTCTGGAGGAGGAGGTATGAATATCATTTTTCTTCCCTACACCTGCCTTACTAATTTGCTTAGAATTCTTACCAAACATGACAGCTCTTGTGGAGAATGGACTTCATTAATTCCTCCATCGTATAGCTAAAGCCAGACTAATACCCGTGTAACCTGTAGCCGCTGAATTCCTGCTCATATCTAACTTTGGAAGAGATGACAACTATGTTTATAACAACAGTAACTGAACATGATTAATGATTGGTCAGTATTTATTACTGTCTGAATATGGATAGCATTGCTAAGCCTAATTAAAGACCTTTAGCTAATATTGAGATTTGCAGTAAGTGTGTGTGTGTGTGTGTGTGTGTGTGTGGTGTGTGGGTACATTTATGCAAATATAAACAATTAGAAGTAGGATCACTGGGTCAAGGGGTCTGCATTTTAAATTGTGATGAGTATTGTCACTTTCCAGCCTCATCAAACAGTAAACGAGAATGCTGGTTGCTCTTCACCCTCACCAACACTGGGTGTTACCAGCCTCTCTGAAGCCAGTGCACGTCCTCTGGCTTCATGTGCTCCAGGGTGTTCCTAAACCCCATTTTGAAAAGTGCACAGGGAGTATAATTGCTATTTTATCCATCAATCAGTGTAGTGATTTGGCATGGTTACTGAAAAAGGCGGGCCTGGTGGCCTGAGTTTCGGGTCACTGAGAATCACTGCCTTAGAAAACGTGCGCAAAGAGAGATAAAATTGAACTTCACAGAGTTAACTTTCCCTGCGAGTGGCCCACAAAAGCTGGAAGCTAGAATATTTTTGTCATCTCACCACTGAAATTTCAGGTAGCTCTGCCTCAGGTTACTTACAATGGAAAATTCTTTGCACAGGGTTGAAAAATAAAGGAGTAAAAAAAAAAAAAAACCAACATTCAAGTTAATTTCCACGGGTGATATTGGATGCACAAAATAAGCCCTTTTTTCCTATTCTTGTTTTCTTAGTCACCTTCCAGTTAGCATGGTCTTTGAATATTTTTTCTTGCAACTGAGACAATATAATTAGAGGAGTTTGTTGTGGTGAATAAAAGGTCTACATTCCAGTGTACACACTTTGATTTCTAGGATTTTATAGTACCCTCCAAAATTTTTTTATTGCACATGTATTTGAGTTTTAAATTTTTCCTAGGAGAGAATTCTAGCCTGTTGAGCATTCTTCACATGCAACTGAAGGATGCTGCCATCATTGATTTACAACTTTCTGTAAATACAAGGAAAAATATTTTTCCACTGACCTTATTAGCTTGATGACATTGTGTTTGGAGAGTATTCTCAGCATTACAAATTAATATAAAGGAGGATAGCAAAGATGGAAAAGTAGATACAAAGAAGGAAAGAACATTAGACTAAAAAAAAATGCTTAAGATTCTACCCTTCTACCCAGGCTACCACTGAAAATTAGCTCTGTGACTTATTCTGTGAAGATTTCCAGGCTTTGGGAGGTACGCATTTGAAGACCCAGAAGTGAAGAATAACATGATGAATTCCAGGAAGTGAAAGAAATTCAATCTGGCTAGCATTGAGAGGGCTAAAACCCGTAGCAGTATGGCACCACAGGCTATGCTAGGGATTATGGTGGCCTGAGCTAGGGGCGTGGCCCCAGGAAGGGAGTCTGGTGGGAGGTGCTGTTCCACTCCAAAAGAAGATACTTTGTTTAAGTATCTTCCTGATGTATTCCACATTATCCACAAAGTACTGTAGATTCTGCTACAGTATAAAGGTACTGCTTTCCTTGTGAACAAACTTTTGTTTCATTTTAGAACGAAAGTTGAGATCTTCTTATCATGTTGTCAAGGGGTTTCCTGTTAGGGATTTCTACATCCCCCACCCATTTTGTTACAGCAGTTTACAAAAGTTTTTGTTGTTAATGGGTTTTTTTGGGGGGGTGGAGGGTTTGGTGTTTGGTTTTTTGGGGTGTTTTGGGCTTTTTTGTTTGTTTTTTGCTTTTTGTTTTTTGTTGTTGTTCCAGACAAGGAACATTTTGGGGAAAAGCGAAGTATAAATCATTTCTGGTAGTTAGTTTTTAATATTTCCTCAATGAGAACTTGGACTTTTTTTTTTTTTTTGCTTATAGAATTCACAGTTAAAATAGAAACTCTTAATGCAGAGGTCACAAATTCGCATGCCTGTAGAAGCCAAGCAGGTAAATGTAAACGGTTTACCGCTGCCTGAATCAAAGAGATGGTAGGAAGTATGAAAGTACATGAAAACCCCATTAAAAAGCCAGTTTGCAACCTCTGCCTTAATCTTTGTGAAGCAACAGCTGTTGCATAAATTAGTGAATAAAATGTTTTAATAGTGGGTATTTAAAATATTGACCAGACCCACCAGTTTCATTTCTAGGATATATCCCAGAGAATTCAAAACATATGTCCCCGCCAAAACTTGTACATGAATGTTCGGAACATCATTATTCATAATTGCCAAAAAGTGGGGATAGCCCAAATATCAGTCAGCTGATTAAGAGATAAACAAAATGTAGTATATCCGTGTAATAGAATATTATTCTGCTATAGAAAGGAATGAAGCGACATGAGACATGCTATGTTGTAGATGAACCTTATAAACATTATGCTAACTAAATAAAAGAAGCCAATCACAAAGGACCACATGTTATATGATTCCATTTCTAGGAGATATCCAGAATAGGCCTACCCATAGAAACAGAAAGTAGATTGATGACGGCTGGGGACAGGGAAATAGGCAGTGACTGCTAATGGGTTAAAAGTTCTTTTTTGAGGTGATGAAAATGTTCTGTAGTAGATAATAGTGATAGTTGCACAACTCCATGAGTATACGAAAAGCCATTGAATTATATTTAAAAGAGTGAATTTTATAGTATGTGAATTATATCTCAGTTTAAAAAAGTCAAAAACAGTCATCAAAAGCTCCTACGAGGGCATAAAATTTTCTCTATTTATTAAGCCAAATAAAACGGGATTTACAGCACTGCCCTGTAGCTTCTGCTACCTGCAACTTAAAGCTATTCTACACTTGATTTAGCCAAAAGGCCGAGAAGCGATTCTAAATTAACCTTTGAAAAGCTATTAATTGGCATAGCAGTGCCCCTCTTCCCACCAGGACCAGTAGCCCCTATCCTGTCTGAGACCCTCCATCCTCTGTTCCACACTACATGGAGTGGGAAATGAGGTCCAACTTTTACCCTTGTTGATTGGCAACTATGTATTTTTATATTTGAGCAACATGGCAAAACCACAGATACCAAATCAAGGATTTGCTCTTCGTTTCAGGTATGTGTATACGATCACCCTCGTCACTGCCAGCCTCCCGCCCTCCTAGCCCAGCACTACAGCACCAGTACTCGGTTCGTGTACTGGCTAGTGAGCCTTCCCCCAGTCCAGCAGTCTCTAAGTTTCAAAAGTAAAGAAGTCAGTGTTGTATAATATTCAGTTCTGTGATTTGTATATAAAACGGTCGTGTAGGTCCGTGCTGGCCTAGAAGAATATAATGTGAGCCATGTTTGTAACTTTGATTTTTCTAGTAGCCACATTAAAAAAGTAAAAAGAAATAGTCAATTAATTTAAAAAATGTATTTTATTCAATCCAGTAATGGCCAAAATATTATCATTTCAACATGTAAGCAATATTAAAAGATTATTAATGAAATCTGTTACATTCTCCTTTTTTGTCCTAAGTCTTGGAAATCTGGTGTGTTTTACACTTACAGCACATGTTCAGCTCAACTAGCCAATAGCCGCCTTTTCTATTCCAGTTTCGGCCATTGTCATCTCTCCTGGAGAGAGGAGCCCCCCGCTTGCTTCCAAGTCTTAACCCACTCCCAAGCCCAGCCAGATTTAATTTCTTTCAGTTCCATTGGCAGCTAATGTTGGGAGAACAGCCCAAGGCTAAATTTCAGACCCCAGAAGGTACCCTCTAGCTAGGAAAGACTGGAGTGTGAGCCGAGGCACTCTGAACCTCCTAGTCCAGGAACAGACATCCATAACAAGTCTGAGATTTTTAGGGCCTCCATGGTCAAAAGCAGGGCTTAGCAAACTATGGCACAGGGGTACATAAGATAATGTTTGAAGGTCTTTTTGTACTTACTCTTCCTATTATTTTTAAATTTCTTACTTTGTGCATGTTTTATAATGTACATAGTATGATTTATTACACGAATATACTTAACAAATCAAAAATTCCTGTTTGGGATGCATGCCCACTTACTGGAGGGTGTTCAGTCAATTGTAGGGAGTTTGGGGTTTTGTCCTGTGAGCATGAAAGGAAGGAAAGGGAGAATCTGGGGTTGGGCATGTGTGAATCAGCTGCTTGTTCAGAGTTTCAGTTCGACTGTGCTGAGGCCCTTGTGGGACCGGGTTGAGCCACGGAAGAAAATGTGGCTGGGTTATTTTAAGCTGTGGTCCTGGCAAAGAGCTGATAGCGATAGCCAGCAGGAATGCTCTGGTTTCCCCATCTCTTGGTCTATGGAGTCAACCAGGTGCTTGTCCATGTGCTCGGGACAGTCATCAAGACCCCTGGGAAGTGCCAGCTTGACTCCTGGTGCACCCTCCTCTTCCCATTCCTGAGCGCGCTGTTTAGGTGCCCGCTAAGGAGCTGAAGACCCGCTTCCCTAACTTCCTGCTCCAAACGAAGACCACTTAAGCCTCAGAGATGGTAATGTGCCCTTTAATCCACCACTCACTTTCAAAGGGTAATTCATCTGGGGTCGTTTTTTGCTCCCACAGTTTTTATATAAACTTCCTGGTGTACGGCAGTGAGTCATCCTTGAAATTTTCAAGTGTTGTCGTGACCTCTTTTGAAAGGAAAATTACTAATATTCTTGGTAACACTTGGTAGAACGTTAAGCTCCCAAATGCTTATGTATTTTTAATGTTGAGTGTCTGGAATAGCCATTTTGAATATTCATGGACATCAGTGTTTATTTTCTCTTAACTTTTTCTGAAATCTGTACACATTGAAGGCGTTTGTTTTATTTTGAATTTAATAGTTTTCAAAAGGAAGTTAAAAAGATGCCATTTCCTGTACAAGAACTTAAGGCCGACAGACATATTTATATCTAAGCTAACAAAGCCGATTGGTTTAGAACTCTTGTTACTCCTCATTCTTCTGGTGTTAATTAAAACCCATTTTAATCTGTGAATTCTTGATGAGAGACCGCTGTAGTGTTAAGGAGCTTGTCTGTGAGGGAATGAAGGGAAAATGGATTTTGAACAGCGATACCGTCCTTGTGGGAAAGAGGGTGAGGAAGGGGACTTTCCCCCTTGGTACCCTGAGTGGCTGTCTTCTTTTCTGTCCCCACACACAGGAGTTTAGTTCCAAGAATCCCATGAGTCACTCGGCTTTGTTTAAAGCCATTCTGAACCCATGCCTCACTCGGGAAAATGTTTGAGACCCTCTAGAAAGTCGGAGTTTTAAAACTTCATCTTTATTTCTTTTTGGACACTGGCAGTTTATGCCTGGTCACAAGGTGTGAGTGTCACTTATTGATAACTGTACCTTTCTGGTTTACTATTCTGATATGTCCGGGCTTTATTTTGGCTAACCTCCTGCAGTGGTTTTGTATTAATTTTGAAGTGAGACCATGTCTGCCTTCATCATTGACCCCACTCATGAGAGTAATGAACGTGCCAGGAATTTTCTTAGTGGAGTAGAAACAGGGAGCAATGTGGCTTATGAAGCAGCTAAAACCAGCAGATGAAGACAGGCCCACAGAATAAAAGAATCTGAGAACTTAATGTAAATTCAGAAGTAAATCTTTCCAAAAGATGTCTATCGGGATGAACAATGGAAGTCACCGTGGGCAATCTTTTAAGCAGCCTTTGAAATCGGTTATGCTCAGCCTAACAGTAAGGTCTACAGTCGTTACCGTGTGATAGCCTCGCATTTGTGTGCTCTTAATTTGACAGTCGTAGCTGCAAGATGAATTTGAGGAAGACGGTTTTTAAGTTGCAGGAGACTTTTTATTCTGTTGGGCAATTACGAGTTGTTTTCCTGGGGTCGCCCTTCAGGGCAAAGCCCGCTGTCGTTTACTGGGCAGATGCTATTTCCCAAGTAGTGGCTTTTTTTTTTCTTTTTCTTTTTGCTGGACTGTTTGGTTGTCATGGCAGACCACTAAACATTTTTCCCTTGTGTGTCTCTCTGCCACTCGCCCCTCCCCCTACTGTCCCCAGGATGATGAGGATGACAATGCGGGCACAGAGATGAAGATACTACGGGGACACTGTGGACCAGTGTACAGCACAAGGTTCCTCGCAGACAGCTCAGGGTTGCTCTCTTGTTCTGAAGACATGTCCATTAGGTACTGGGACCTCGGGAGTTTCACCAACACTGTGTTGTACCAAGGACATGCCTACCCTGTGTGGGACCTGGACATTAGCCCGTATAGCCTGTACTTTGCCAGTGGGTCCCACGACCGCACCGCAAGGCTGTGGTCATTTGATCGGACGTACCCGCTGAGAATATATGCCGGCCACCTGGCAGATGTGGACTGCGTCAAGTTCCACCCTAATTCAAACTACTTAGCCACAGGCTCGACCGACAAGACTGTCCGGCTGTGGAGCGCTCAACAGGGCAACTCGGTGAGGCTCTTCACGGGCCACCGCGGCCCCGTGCTCTCTCTTGCCTTTTCTCCCAACGGTAAGTACTTGGCATCAGCTGGCGAGGACCAGCGGCTGAAGCTATGGGACTTGGCCTCCGGGACCCTTTATAAAGAACTGAGAGGCCACACGGACAATATCACCAGCCTCACCTTCAGTCCGGACAGCAGTCTGATCGCGTCTGCGTCCATGGACAACTCCGTGCGCGTCTGGGACATCAGGAACACTTACTGCAGTGCGCCTGCCGACGGCTCCTCTGGGGAACTGGTGGGTGTGTACACCGGGCAGATGAGCAATGTACTCAGTGTACAGTTCATGGCCTGCAACCTTCTTCTAGTGACTGGAATCACACAAGAAAATCAGGAACATTAATTTTTGTTTTTTAATCTTTGTGGTAACGGACTGGGGTTGTAGTGGAAAGCCTCCAGGTTGCAAGTCGTAGGACATATTGAGATTGAATCACTGACTGTGAAAGACTCCCCGCTTCTCCCCCTTCTCCCGTGCAGACATCCTGAGCTCGTCACCCCTGCACTCGGTCCGCCACATGTCGAAGGACTGAAGGGGGAAGGTGCTGTGATTGGACATGAGATGGAGCATGAAGAGGCTCTGGGGGTCGGATTGCAAGCTCTTAACGGAGATCCTGCCCGTGTCCTCGCGTGAGCACCTTCGTGTGTCTGTCTCATTTTCCCGTGTGTCAACCCGAGATGCTGCTTACCTCGCCGCCAGGTGCTGCCTTTGGTCCGAGGATGGTTGCAGGGCGCCCTCACAAGGAGTGGTGCCACGGGGTCCCCGCTACTCAGTCGGCGGGCGCAAGGGGGCTTTCCTGGCGCAAGAATGCGGGGGTGGGAACTAGGAACGGGCGGGCATCATCCTGGCGAAAAGGCTTTCCTTTTCCGTAATTACAGAGAACCAGGATTTTTTATTATTATAATTATAATTATTATTATTATTGAGAAGAGGAAACCTAGCACTGGCAGAGGGGCCTTCTCTGCTCTCGTCTTTCAGGTTTTACTCCTGGCACTGGCTGTGATACTTGGAATCTTGAGGTTCAGGGAATTCAAAGAATTTGGTAGCACAGTGTTTTGGGAGAAAGGGAAACTTTCTGGGTGACGATGGGTCACCCCGGCTGACATGTGTCTAGAAGTGGGTGGGTGGGTTGGTTTGAGAAAGTCCTGGGCTCTGGTGGTGACGGTGCGAGAGGAAGAGTCTCCTCATGGCTGCACTTCTGTGAACAGTTCTCTCCCCGGGAAGGACAGATGGTGGTAAAGAAATGAAAAGAATTTGAAGCGATGAAGCAAAAGATAGAATTAGAAGATGTGAAATTTCCAAATGCCCATTTATTCGGAGGTGTGGCTCGCTCAGCGTCTTTTCCTCCTGCCTTCATTCGCTCCCACCTCCTGCATTGCAATAGTGGTTTAATGAACACTTTGTGAAACAAATCGTAAGTACATACGCACGCATCTAAAACTGTGCTTTGAGGATAAAGCAAGTTCGAATTCGTGGAAAAAGGATTAAATATTTCTGTTTTCTGAAAAGAGTTATTTTGTATTTTGTTTTCTATTAAAATGTATTTAGTTTCAAAAAAAAAAAAAGTGTTGTCATGTCATTTAAACTGTGAGGGCAGGTGGGTATGTGGCCCGGCCTGGGGTGACGTGTGCAGCCCACCTGTCTTCGGGATGATAGCCACTCATGTAGGCCAGACTAGCCCCAACGCAGCTACACTCCCGCCTGTTCCTGTATTCTGTTCAGCTAACTTTGAATCGCACTTCCTCTTGGCATACACAGGAATTATTGGTAACATTTAATACTGTTCATACATCCAAGATTACCACTTGCTAACGGGAGACAATGTATATTTTACCATCTAGACTAATTTGGGAAGATCCCACTTCCAGTTTTCTTTAATGACCCCATTATAAAATTTCTAAGGGGCATAAGAACTGTGCTATTTAATTAACTTAAACTGTTTCTCGAGCAATTCCAGATAAAGGACTTGTTCAAAAATTTAAATGATGCCAAAATACAAGAACACCAAGAATTATCAGGAAATTAAAGAAAGACTCTAGAATTCTATGCCAAATTTTTCTTTTACTTGAGCCTAAGATTCTAATTAATAAGAAATGTTTCTTATTCATAAAAACCTATATATTTGAAACATTGTAAGAAGGATCTGTTAGCGCCTCAGCCACTTCCACATAGTGTGCCGTGAAGAAGACCAGATAGAATTCAAATATGTTCTTATCTGTAATAAGTGAACTCTTAACTTAAATTCTATGGTATATTACTAGAAATGATAAAATCCCTAAATTGGGCCGAATCATTCTCAGGAGTGAAAATACCACTGACTAGGGATGATTTGGAAAGGCTTTGTGTTTGTTTTTTAATGCAAAATTTTTTTGATTAAACACAAAAATGTATTGGGTTGGTCAGTCTTCAAATTATCAATCATGTATATACTTTTGTAATTTGAATTCAAGCTCTTAATGATCTTCATGTTTGGCCTCTTTCTTTGAACTGATTTTAATGTGGGATAATTTAACTTTATAGAATACCCCTCACAAATTCCCCAGAATCTTAGAAATATCATAAGGGGTATGTCTGTATGTTTATGGCCACAAGGGTGCATAAGAACATAGACTCTTCAGGTTGCTCTCCGGCGTTGTTTTATTTTCTCTTCAGAGCAAGAGACGGAAAGGACTGGTGATACTACCATTTAGAAGATGAAATATCTAAAGCCCAGAGAAGCTCTGTTATCTATACCCAACATGGAACGGTCACATGTCTTGGATGTGTTACATAGATCTATATTCAGTATCCTCAAGTTCTAGCTGGGGGATATAGCCCTGATGATAGAAAAACGTTTTGTTTTGTTTTTTTAGCCCTCCAAAAAGGAAATATGAATATTTAACAAACACATATATACTGCTTACTATCTACCAGAAATCATTCCATGAGCTTTACGAAAATTAACTTTATCTCCATAACAACTCTGTGAGATAAATGCCACTTTTATCTATATTTTACAAATGAGGATTCTGAGGCCCTGTTGGATTAAGTCACTTTGCCAGAGGGTCACACAGCTAGTAACCGATGAAGCCAGAATTTGCACCTGGGAAGTCTGGCTCCAGAGTTCTTCCACAGGCTCATGTGTCCCTTCATTCCCGCAGTACCAGGTAAAGAGTGACCTGAGGTTACTAGTAACTAAATGTTCCTGGCAATAGTTATAAGATTCATGCTTCCCTTTGCCAAATAAGTCAGCAGCATCTAGCAGGATCAGGAACTGGCGGTAAGAACAAACTTAAACAATATGTGGCTAAAAGAAATTTGAAAATACTCAATTTTGAACCACAATGATAAATCTCTGCAATGTGTATAGGTGCAGGGGGAAAAAAAAGCTGGAATTTCTTAGGCTGATAGGCTTAGAAAACTCTGACTGTAATTTCAATTCAGCAGTACACTGGCCAAAAGAAAGAGAATGTTGAGATAAAGGAAAGTAAGAAATAGAGATGAAATGGGAAACAATTTGAAGTTTTTATATTCAAGATCCAGCTTCTAAGGATAGCTGTGATTACTAACTTTTCATTTGTTTTATTCATACATTAAAAATGTCTTGGTTGTATAAAAAAAATCTATTGAATATGTAGGCTTCTAATTTTGCTATTGCCCAGATTGGTATTTAAATATATGGATTAAAAGATTAGTCTGTACTTCAACTTGTCTTTCAGTTGCATGTTTTAGAAAAGTGTCCATTATATCTATGCCCAGCCCACAACAAGGATTCATATTATTGACCCCTACGTAGCAACCACGTGATTCTGAAAGTGCCTTATGGTAAACAGAAAATCTTCATTATAGAATTTGAGGAATGCAAATGTTCCTTGCCAGCTTGACCCATTAAAGGACAACTTAGATACTTTCCCATGATTCTGAAATTCCTAAAAGAAATATTTTTATATTAAATATGTGGATATCTATTATAATCAGACATTGTGTTAGTGGGCAGAAATGCAACAATAAGCAAAACTGATACAGGCCCTGGCTTGAGTTTATAGTTTAAAGAGGGAGGCAGATGTTGATCAACTAATACCATAAATAAATACGTAATTTCAAACAGTAGGGAGTGCTGTACTAGGTGCAATGAAAGAATATGCCCAGGGATCTAATTTAGATCAAGCATTCAAGGAGGGCCTCCCTGAAGAAGTAATAATGAAGCTGGGATCTGGAGGGTAAGCAGGAGTTAGGCAGGCAGAGTTGAGGGAAGAATGGTCCAGACCCCCAACTGGGAAAGAACCTGGTACACTCAAAGTTCACTGGGGCTGAGGCAATGTGAGTAAGGAACAGAACAGCATAACATGAGTTTGGATAATTGGCAGGGCTTTGGGCACTATCGGGAGTTTGGCTTTTCTCCCAGGTGGGATGGAAGCCACTGAAGGGTGTACAACAGGGAAGTGATCAAGTCCAAGCTCCACCTTAATATCACTGGCAGCAAGGGGACATAGACACATTTGCAGTGGACTTACACTTCATCAGGATAACAAGGCAACATTTACTGGACCCACCTGTGCCAAGCACTGCAGGGCACAGCCAACTGATGGAAACCAGCTACCATGTAGTGGGCTGCCCTACATGGAGTGGCCCCTCAGGCAATGAACTGAAAGCGGACTCTAACCAACAACCGGTGAGGACCTGAGACCTGCCAACCACCACACAAGTGAGCTTGGATGCAGGTCCTGTCCCGGCTAAGCCTTCAAATAAGACTGCCACCAGTCGTGATCGACCTTGAGACAGAGGTATCCAGCTTAAAAATCTGCCCGGATTCCCAACTGAGAGAAACTGTGAGATATCGAATACTGTTTCAAACCACTGAGGTTTGGGGTAATTTCTTGTGTGGAGTAGATAACTAGCCCATCAGTCCTACTCCATAGTCCATTCTTTTAACTGCTACACTATAGAAAATGAAATAATTACTGATTAAAACAAAATCGCTGGCAGCTGTAAGGAATACGGACTGAGGGTATGAGAGTGAGCAGGGAGACCAGTTAAGATCATTGCAGTTGTCCAGGAGAGAGATGAGGATGGTGTGGACTGGGGGGGGGCCACAGTGGAAATGGAGAAAAGTGGACAAATCCAATGAATATTTTATTTTTTTATTTTTTAGATTTTATTTATTTATTTGAGAGAGAGAATGAGAGAGAGAGAGAGCATGAGAGGGGGGAGGGTCAGAGGGAGAAGCAGACTCCCCGCTGAGCAGGGAGCCCGATGTGGGACTCGATCCCGGGACTCCAGGATCATGACCTGAGCTGAAGGCAGTCGCTTAACCAACTGAGCCACCCAGGCGCCCTCAATGAATATTTTAGAGGTGGGTTGGCTAGACTTTATTGGGTTGTATGGGGAGAGAAGACAAGAATCACGGATGACCCAGATGTTTCTGGCATGAGCAGTTCAGTGGATAGGGTTGCAATTTATTGTGATGAAAATTCTGGAGGAAGTGGAGGTTTGGGGGCAAAGATCAAGAATTCAGTTTTGGACCTCTGAAGTTTGAGATGCATATAAGAGAACCAAGTGATAATATCAGATAGGCATTTAAAAAAAAATTTTTTTTTAAGATTTATTTATTTGACAGAGTGAGAGAGCACAAGCAGGGGGAGCAGTAGAAGGAGAGGGAGAAGCAGGCTCCCTGCCGAGCAGGGAACCCGATGCAGGACTCGATCCCGGGACCCT